GTATAATTATGCAGATGATCGTTGATGATGAAAAATTCGAGAAAAATGTTTCCTCGAGCAGAGAACACTAGAGTTAACGATAAAAAAGCAGTCAGAACTTCAATCAGTTAAAGGATACAGAGAAAACAGATAGTAAATAGTTTTGTGGAATTAAGTGGTTTTTTATTCTATATCAGCGTAGTATTTCTGTGTAAAATAAATCTAAACTCAATCATTATCGTAAAGATGTACATGCTAAATGTTTTAAATCAAGTACATACTTACGTTGTAAACTTATTGAACGTTTGTATATAAACACTATTTAAACTTTATAAACATTTTGAATTTCAGCTTCAAAAACGATAAGAAACGAAGTATTATATAAACGAAGTATTATAGATGTATATTTATTATAAATACAATTAACATTAGATATACTACTAATTTTAAATTCGATAGTTACATTATTAGTCAACTTTAATTTTGTTATATATCCAATATTTTTATATTCTTATAGTCCAGTCATCAGAGATTTGATCTCTAAAGACGAGATGAATAAGTTGAATGTTTTAAATAAGAAATGTAGCTGAGATAATTGAATGTCCGCCCCGGATAAGGTTGTAACCCTCAATATTTGTTAATCGGTATTATTAGCGTAATAAGGTTGTAACCATCATTTGTGTTATACTGGTATGCAATTGGTCGCAGAAAATCACCTACTTTCAATTTTATGTGAGCATTCAAGTAAATTCGCGGCGAATATGGTTGTAACATCTTTAGAAATATTAAACATGGCGAATGTAGCATGTGTTAATGTGATTTATGGCCACAGAAAAGCAGTTAAATAAATCGCGAAAGGTGCTGTTGTACCTGAAAAATTACTTCCAGTAAACACAAAATTGGAATTATTTCCTGATTGTTAAGTAAATAAAGAGCCCAATATAAATTAGGTTAACAAGGTTAATAATGGTCATTCTTACGATATTTAACACTACTGGAGCGTGTCAAACTAAAAATTTTGCTTGCATAAACATGTGTTTAATCCTAACTGAAAGCAACTTTTAAATTTTAATTAACTATATAAAAGAAATAAATTTTAATAAAAAAATAAACCGAACTTTTGTTGCAGGCTAGAACTGGCCACTTTAAGTATGGGTGTAACAAAAGGAACTTGGAGCAAAAACCCTTTTTTTTAAATATTTCTAGAGTGTTAGTTACGATAGACAAACACGGTTGTTACGCCAATACATCGATTTGGTAGATGGGAAAAAACGATATGTTTCTGAAAGTGAATAGCGACGGAACTGTTTGTTTACTACGTTGCCTGTTGCAGGCGCAAATATACGTGTATGTCATAAAACTCTTTTTTACATGTTAAAACTTACGCACAGACGTATCCAAAAATTGCAAGAAAAAATTAAGTTTAATGAAACATTGTCTGACCAAAGAGGAAAACATAAAAATAGACCGCATGCAACCTCAGATGTAGTAAAATTAGCTGTAAGAGACTAATTGAATCTTTCTCTAAAGAAGTGAATCACTATTTCAGAAATAACACTCAAAAGCTTATTCTGCATCCAGACCTATCCATAAACAAAATGGATCTGATTCTTAAGGCACGATTTCCCAATTATTGTTAAAAAAGCAAGCTACACCATGCAAAAGCAGAATAAGCTTTTAATAACTGTTCTTTGTATAGATCTACAGCAGGTACTGTTTTACCTGATGCTAAAACCTTCTACATATACTACCAACATAAATATTCATGTTATAATTAAGCAATCCATAATTTGGGTACAAACCAGGGATTTATGTGCCTATGGCATGAAATTATAGCAAAAAGGGGTTAAACTGAAACAACATCCTGCCTACTGAAGTATATTACCACTAACTGTAAGCCCATGGAAAAAACAGACAGAAAATTAATTGTTTGGTCAGACCGATGTATCGGACAAAATAATAAGTGGCGTGGTATTGCATTATACTAGTACCTGGTCACTATGAGATATTTTACAACTGTGGACTAAACGTTCAGCGGATACAGCTTTTACCTTACTATAGGGATTTCGCCCTTATTTAGCGTAAGAAAAAGCCATTTATTTTGTATTTTTCTGAGAGAATCGGTTTTAAAGACTTAACAATAGTCGAGTCAGCTTTACTGAAAAGCAAAACTAAAACAACTGAAGCGGTTTCGTACGAAATTAACAGTGATGATTCTATCAATAAATTTATCGATAACAAACATAACATGTTTGTTATTAATGTTGAGTGTCATAGCTTCTTAAAAATAATCTCAACGACTAGTAAGTACACTGACATTTTGTGATATATTGTAAATATTTACAAATTTTCCTAATTACAGTGTCTTGATAAAGGAATTAAACAATTCCGAAAGCTAGACCAAAAGTCAAAAGAGTGTTTCTGTAACATCCCGGCCAAACTTCTGACTGCAGCCCCAATAAACTTTGTTGTTTGTTTAAATTGACAGTCACGAATATCCAGTATTCATTATATATATATATATATATATATATATATATATATATATATATATAATATATATATATATATATAATATATATATATCTATATAGGAACAGTATATAAGAAAGTCGAGGACAGTAACGGGCAACTGGTAAACAACAGCCAGTTGAAGATAACCGGAACGACCCAATACTAAGGAAGCAATAAAAAACGGGTGCTTGAAAGTGAGTGTCTTTTACTAAAAGTCAAGCTTTTGCCACATAATTTTGGGCTTCATCAGAACTTGTTGTAATGGGAAAACATTATTTACAATCATCATAATTAAAGATGTTATTATTAATACTACCTTAACGTTAACATTATCTCTTAGTGTATAATATTATCGATGTGGAACTACACATTGTTTTTAAACACAAACCAATCGCATCTCCCAACTAGAAGAAAATGGCAAACAAAGTCTTAATTCAATATTTAAATTTATTTTATTTTAATATAACCATGTGGCCGGCATTTTTGACAAGACAATTGTTAATTAAGTCATGTGTCGTATCGACTGTCACTTATCGAAACGGCACCTGTCTTAATCACTTCTTCTTTTTGTTAGTATAAGACACTAACACTATTCAGTCACATTATTGGACTTTGTTAAATTTCATACATAATCATCATTAAAATTAAAATTTTTAATTTTAATTTTATCATCAAAATGATTCAAGCTCCAGAATAAAGTACTAAGGGATATTATAAGTACTCCCTGGTACGAAAGAACTAGGGACCTACACAGAGAGTTGGGTATGGAAATAGTTTCAGAGATGATTAAAGTATTTGCAAAGAAGCATAAAATAGAATTTGTAATTATGTCAATGTGGAGGTTATATATTATTATTATATAATATATTATTAGTTTTTACTTTTAGTGACTTAGTGGGTATGTCCTATGTTTTAATATTATTTTAATTGTGACGTCTAATTGTTAACACCAAATCTTTACATGCTTGGTAAGTCAAAAGTTTATTTTTTAAACCATATTATGTCTGTCATAGAATGTTTTTTCTTAGTCAATATATATTTTTGAAAAAGGCATGGATTTCCTGCCGAAACGTCGGAAAAAATATATATAAAAATGTCTTAGTATCAAACTAAATTTTTTTTTATGAACCTAAGCCCAAGAGAATCCACTAAAATATATATATATATATATATATATATATATATATATATATATATATATATATATATATATATATATATATATACCGGGTGGTGAATCGTCAAACGGACCATAGGAAACTCAATGAGAAATTTTAAATTGTTGAATTGCTGCTTCCCTAATTATTTTAGATCAAAAGTCATAAAAAACTATTTGTAGAGGACTAAAATCTGAATTAAAAACAAATGTTAAAACCGTTCTACGACTCAAATGTACTTAAAATTTTTAAAAATATAATACATTTTTCAGGCCACCCCTAAAAGTTAGGCCACACGTAATGCAAGAATATGATCAGATTGTTTTGTCAATATAATGAATTGTCAATTTTTTTATTTTATGATTAAATTATAAACAATGAATTTTACTAAATACTACTACTAATGAACATTAATACTTTGTGAACAATAAATTATATTGTTTACAAATCGATCAATATAATGAAATGTACTCAGTTGACGAAAAATCGCATAATGTTGTATTCAGGCAATAGCGCGAACCTTTTCCTGCCACTACCGGATCTTTATTTAACGTAAGATATTCTAATTCACTAAAATTTAATTCCATGTTAAGTTATACAATAATTCAATGAATTCCAATATACTGTTACTGTGATCTTTATTCCTAATAATAATATATGATAATTTCTAAACATAAAACTATAACAAATGTTATAATAAAACATGAATAAAACATTTTTATTATTGCTTTTTTCTTCTCAACTGAGTACATTTTTTAATCAACTTAATTTTTTTTTAACAATAAATCACAAAATTTTGGCCATTTAAATCATAGATAAATGTAATATAATTGATTTAAATATTGTCAAATATCAGAAACAATAATATGACAAAACGCAACACGTAATACACATTTTTTCACAGAAAAATGTATTATATTTTAGCAAAATTTTGGAATACGTTTAAGTCGTAGAATAATTTTAACAGTTGTTTTCGATACATATTTGAGTCCTCTACAAATAGTTTCCCATGACTTTTGGTGTAAAATAATTAGGGAAGCAGGAATTTAACAATTTAGAATTTCCCATTGAGTTTCCTATGGTCCGTTTGACGATTCACCACCCTGTATATATATATATATATATATATAAATATATATATTATATACATATATATATATATATATATATATATATATATATATATATATGTATATATATATACATACATACATACATATATACACAGTAATTATTACTTGCACGATCAAGGCTGTGCTGTGTATGTCCCAAAAGTGTGACCATTAAATACGTCAATAACGAGTAGAAGAAAAATAATATCATATCTATTTTATGTATAAATCCACTAACCTTTACTATAGAGGTTTGCCAATTCCTGAGCTCCTTTGTGCTGAGGCCCCCACCTGGGGCCGGACTTTTCTTTAGGTATGGCTGCAACGGCACAATTGGCGTTCGGATCATCTTCTAACATAGAATTTTCTAAAATTTGTTGTTCTGTTTTGACAGGAGCCAGGAGATTTGTGGCCACTGTGCACGTAATTGGGTAAACGATTTCTTCCTTTACTCTCGGCGAGCAACTAAGAGGCGGTAGAGCAGCCATTTTGTGTTACTATAAATAAAAATAAAGTATAAATTATAAATTATTTCATATAAATTACGAAATATCAAATAATTTATAAATTTGACGTTTCACCTTACAGGTAAGACGTCATTTTAAAGAATAAAAAAAGAAAAGGAATTATGTAGCAGAATTGTTACAGCTTTATTCTGTTAAGAATGTATCGAATTTTCTCGTAAGAATAAATCAAATCTCGTATTTTGAATATTTCCTCGTTCTTAAGGTAATCTACAATTAGCTCATTTTCTCCTGATGTTTTATTTGCTTTCAGTTTCATATTTGCCATTGCTTGAATAATTTCACTAAGCGTTATGTCTGGCATAAGTTCAAAACGTTTATTTAATTGAGGCTTTTAAGCTGTTTTGTTTTTATTTTTATTTTGGTGTTCCGTCTACTACTGTATAATTCTTGATCGAAATCTTCCACTGTTCTTCATAATCCTCCATAGTTCAGTCTTGTTAGTTATTATTTGACTCTGTTTTTTAATTTAGTTATTTCTCTTTCTTTCCAGATTCTTTTCAGACACTTTTCAGATTTAGTTTTCTTTGAAGTAACTTTAAGATTTTGTTTCTATCGTTTATTGGATTTTTTCGTTATTATATTTTCTTAAATCTCTTCTGATTGTCTTATGTACCTACTTTTTGCTTCGTATTCCTTATTTCTTCTTTACTAATGTTTATATTCTCTTTTATATATTTTCTCTATTTCATTAGTTCATACCACTTTTTTTGTGGCTTTAGCACTTAGCTGTTTAGCCAGGTACTTGTTAAGAAATAAAAATGAAAAATTACTTCTATAAATCTGTGGCTTGGAGCTAAAAGGGCCAATGTCAAGATTTTGCTATTTTGAGTACACCATGCCATTCGATTTTCTTTTATTACAACTTTCATATGTTAAAACGGCCAATGTCAATTTCAACCAATACCCGATCCATAAGTTTAATGGTGGCCAATGTCAAGATGAATGAATTCACATCACGTTAAGCTAAAAGGGCCAAAGTAAACTTTGGCCCATTTTACCCAAAATGGATTACTCAACCATTTTGGCTGGGAAGTTTAAAGGAAAAGTGGTCCTGCTGCCACGTATTCCGATGATACCATCAGATTCTACCATGCCCTTCAAAAGGCTACAGTTTCCAATTCGTTTAGCTTTTGCCATGTCTATAAATAAATCTCAAGGTCAAACAATGTCCATTTGTGGTTTAGATTTGGAAAATCCATGTTTTTCTCATGGGCAACTATATGTTGCGTGTTCACGTGTTGGGAAACCGTCGAATCTATTTGTGTTAGCTAAAGACAGGTTAACCAAAAACATTGTGCACCGATTGGTGTTAAATTAAATTAAAATTGAAAGTATTTATAATTCAAAAAAATAGATATTAATGTTTAAAAGTTTAAGACTGTCTGCCTTGCCTACCTCATTCATGAGTTTAAGCGTCACATGTTATTTACTGTACCTATTATACTGTAATATACTTATATTTGTTATAAAATTAAACGGAAATAATAAATCTGATAAATTTTTATTTTGTACCTATTGATTTCTGCTTAATATCAAGTGTAAGAACATTTTAATTAATTATGTTCAACGTACTTCCCCATGGTACTTCCCTTCAAATCTCAATCCAGTGAATTTGTATACCAACATCAACATTTTCGTCTTTGTTCGTAAATAATTTCATTGTACTAAAGGGTTATAGTAGTAGAAAGTCAAATAAGGAGATCACCATATTATTTTACAAATACCATGTGTGTGAAAAAGCATAGTGGACTCCGTGACTGATGTTCTCTTATTGTTCCTCTTAGATTGTTTACTATAATGTAATATAACAAAAACTTTAGCCACAGCAACGCGGGCCCGGTCCAGCTAGTATATATATATATATATATATATATATATATATATATATATATATATATATATATATATATATATATATGTGATTTCAGTTGTTTTCCGGGTTTGACTCCGCGTTAAGTAATTTTGGTTTTTAGAAAAACCATTGTTTTGACGACGTTTCGGCCAATAGTCAGCTCTATCGGGTCACCGCTACAATCACTAGCAAAATTTCTGGCCGACCAGCTACAACCATATGCAGAGAAAGCGGATTCTTACGTTAAGAATGCAAGCCACTTTATCGACCGTATCAGGGACGTTGTTCTGGAACCTGAACACCTATTAGTGAGCTTTGATGTAGTCTCATTATTTACCAATGTGCCAGTAGAAGAATCATTAGAAATTATACGCAGAAAATATCCAATACCACAAGATACATTAAACCTGACGAGGCACTGCTTAAACAACACCTATTTCATCTACAAGGACCAGAGGTACAAACAAGTTGAAGGAGCACCGATGGGTTCACCACTGTCACCCGTAATAGCCAACCTTTTTATGGAAGATATAGAATCAAAAGCAATAGAAACAGCAGAGCATAAACCCAAACTGTGGCTTAGGTATGTTGATGACACATTTATTATCTGGACACATGGAGAAGAGAAGCTTAACGAGTTCCTACAACACATTAATAATATCCACCCAAAAATACAGTTTACGATGGAACGGGAGAATAACCAACAACTTCCATTCCTAGATGTGTTAGTTATTAAGAAAGAAGACGGAAGCATAGGACACACAGTATACCGAAAACCAACCCATACTGACAGGTACTTACACGCAGACTCACACCATCATCCTGCACAATTAAATTCGGTAATAAAAACCCTAATAACAAGATCTGAGAAACTGGCAGATAAGGAACATAAGAACGAAGAAATGCAAAAAGTCAAAACAGCTCTACGAAAAAATGGCTTCTCCATGTATACGATTGAAAAGGCACAAAAATCCCGAAACAAAATCAAAGATCCAGAAGAAGAGGAAAAACCAGTCGGAAAAACTATCCTGCCCTATATAAAGGGTACGACAGACAAAATCAGTAGAGTGCTACGTAAAAACAACATAGAGACTATTTTTAACACCGACAAAAAAATCGCAACCATATTACCATCGGCAAAAACAAAAGTTGCATTGGAAAATCAAGGTGTATACAGAATCCCGTGTGAGGACTGCGATAAATCGTACATCGGACAGACAAATCGAAGGATACAAGTTAGACGCGAAGAACATCGAAACGCCATCGAAAGAAAACAGAAAACTTCATCTCTAGCACAACATGCCATCAACACAGGACACAAAATCGACTTAAATGGAACAACAATGCTAGCCAATATCGAAAATAAGGCCAAACGTGTAATCAGGGAAGCCATAGAGATCGAAAAACATCCAAAAAATTTAAATACCAGAGACGATGCCCAAAGACTCCCAAATACGTGGAAACATATTCTACAGAAAAACGTAGAAATTAAAATAGCGAAGAAGACCCCGCCCACTCTGCGCACAGGACCAATAACAAGAAGCGCTTCAAGGTATTTAAACTTAGCGAGCAGCGACCGAGAAATCAGTTCTCCTGAAACATCAAGACGAAGCAGAACTAATCTGACTTGACAATGGCAAGTGTGACCTTGCCGAAACGTCGTCAAAACAATGGTTTTTCTAAAAACCAAAATTACTTAACGCGGAGTCAAACCCGGAAAACAACTGAAATCACATATAGCTCCCGCGGAAGTTTCAAATCCAATATATATATATATATATATATATATATATATATATATATATATATATATATATATAATATATATATATATATATATATATATATATATATATATTATATACATTGCTGAATAAAAAATTTTGAGTCATGTATATACCCAAAGGTACCAGAAAAAAGGTTTAATGCGAATTTTAAAAAGTAATCATAAAAAATATCAAGAATCCTTAAAAGTATAAACTGAAAAACCATAAGTTGCTTAAAAATAGTCGAACAACCTCGTACAATAGAATACAACCGTAACGGTAATTGACTTCTCTTCCTATAAAATGTACCATTTTATCTACCTAAAAGTTCGTAGAAAAAAGTTACAGAACAATTTTATACAAATTTCATAATGCACAGTTTGAATGTATGATTGTATTTAGGAATTAAAGTGGGGAAGCAATATTTACGTTGAGAATTAAGGGGAGGTAATATGAAGAGAAGAAATCTTTTATGTTGAACCGTAGTGTAGTTTTCTCTCTCGAACATAGATGGCGACACGGTTTTTGAGAACAGAATAGTTGCTACGTTTAATTTGTGTACGGCTGCAGATCTATTTGGATTATTCAATCAACGGTAACACTGACGATTACAGTAATGGTAAGTGATAAGATAAATTTAAAACATTACACTAAAATGTAATACTCGCGATTTTGAGGTTACATTTTGTGGCGTGGCTAATAATACGACCGGTGTTAATTTTACTTAAGTAATTTGTTGTACCAAAATTACATTTGAATATTACTTATATTACTAACCTTCATCGTTTTCTTACAGAGTCGACCTCAGTCAGAGATAATGAAATCATAGGAAATATAGATTTAAGTGATCCAGAACCGTTTGAAGATAGTGGTGATGAATATGTACCAACAGATTCTGATAATGACACTGACGAAAACCAAGTAGGGCAGTTTGAAGATGTTAACAAAATAACTGTAGTAGATAACAATCCACAATTGAGTGGTCCTGCTGAAAATCAATCACGCAGAGGAAGAAAGAAAGAAATACTAGATGAAGCTACAAGGAAACGAAAGCGGAATCCTTCAAAGTGGATAAGAAATGTAAGAAAATCGTTGAAAACTCAAGGTAGAGCGTACACGTCAGTCTGTGGAAACAAAACAATACCTGCTAAGCAGCTGAAGGCAGCCTGCATATGCAAAAAAAAGTGCAGTGAAAAATTTACCCAGGAGGAACGACAAAGACTTTTCACTGGATTTTATCAGTTGTGTAGCTCTGGACAAAACCAGTTAATAGCAAATTCCATAGAAGAAGAGGAAAAGAAGCTCCAACGATTAAGACGTAATGATGGTAATCAAAGTAGGCGAAAGTTTAC